CCCCATTCTGACCCCCCAGCACCCACCTCCTCCATCACCCGGGCTCTCAGCACCTCCCCGAGATCCAGCTTCATCCTGGGGGGCAGGAGACCCCGTGAGCTGGGGGGGTTTGGGGGCAGCGCCCCCCCCCCATCACCAGGCTGGGGGTCCAGCCTCCCCACACCTGCCCAGGAGATCATCCTGGTCGGGGTCCTTGTCGAACAGCTCCACCTCCACCTCCTGCCCCGGCACCTCGTGCACGATGAACTGGGGGACAGGGTCAGCTGGGGGGGACACACGGGGGTCCCCCCGCCCGGCAGGGCCAGGCTGGGAACATCCCGGGGGTCCTCCTGCCCAGCCCGGTGGGATTGGGGTGTCCCTGTCCCCACAGCCCAGCCGGGGACGCTCAGAGGGGTCCCTGTGCCCCCCACAACCAGGTCAGGGGGGACACGAGGGTCTCTGTGGCCCAGCTGCTCTGGGGGGGCATGAGAAGGGTCAGGGGGCCCCCAGGGGGGTCTCACCTCATAGACCTCGTCCCAGGTGGGGTTGAGGTTGTCGTCGATGACGCGGCTGGTGAAGACCTGGGTGCCCACGCGCAGGACGGCGTAGGGGTCCGACTTGCCCTCCACCAGCCCCCCCATGAACCGGTCCTTGGAGCGCAGGTCCCGGGCGCCCTGGAGGTGCACCCGCACCACCCCCTGCACGGGGGGATCAGCCGGGGGGGGCAGGACCCCCGAGTGTCCCCCCGACCCCCGGGGCAGCCCTTACCCGGGGCAGGGGGCAGCGGAGCTGGGCGGCCTCGTGCAGGTCGGGCACCAGCGGCACCAGGAGGCGGTTGGGCAGCACCAGGTAGGAGGAGATGGTGTCCATGATCATCGTGTCCGACATGGAGCTGGAGGGGGCACGGTCACGGGGGGGCCGAGGGGGGCTGGGCCCGGGGGGCCGGGAAGCCCCCGCGGTGGGGCTGGGGCTCACCTGAGCCCTGGGATGTCCAGCAGGTTGGTCATCCCTGTCCAGTTGATGTCCAAGGTCTGGGGGGGGGGTTGGGGTCAGGTGAGGGGTCTGTAGCCCCCACCCTGTCCTGCAGGGAGGGGGTTTGGGGTTGCCAGTCCTTTGGGGGGGACGTGGCCACACTCACCGGGCGCCGGATGAAGAACATGGTGAGGGCCCCCACGATGGGCACGTCCCCCAGGAGGGGCTCCAGGATGATCCGCAGCATCCCGTGGAGCTGGGGGGGGCAGCACTGAGAGGTGACACCCCCCAGGGCCGTGACCCCCTCCCGCCAGCCCCCCTGGGCCCCTCTCACCTGCATCCCCTTCACCCCTGCCTTGCAGAAGAACTTCTTCACCTCCACGTCGATCTGGACGTCACCCATGTAACTGCGGGGACAGGACATGGGGGGCCTCACCACGACACCCCCCGGCCCCCCAGCAAGGGGGGCTGAGACCTGGTGCTTTCACCACACAGGTGGCTCCAACCACTCACCTGATGTTGAGGTCCAGCAGGATCTGCTTCTTGTGGGTGCCGGGGTGAGCCCGGACCCCCAGGACCCGGAGGGGCTGGGAGGGGCAGAGGTGAGCGGGAGAGCCTGGGGGGAACCCGGGGGAGCACCCCAACCCCAACCCCAACCCCAAACCTACCTTCTCACCCATGTCCACCTTGGTGAAGGTGAAGGTCTGCAGGTGGGTGTTGGAGGCGCGGATGGAGGGGGCCACGTTCTCCACCAGCAGCTTCTCCATGTACTGCCCAAAAAAGGGCCAGGCCTGGGCCAGGACCTGCCAGAGCCAGAGGGATGAGGGATGGATGGAGGAAGGAGGGAGGGATGCAGGAGGGAAGGAAGGATTAAAAGGGAAGGATTAAGGGAAGGAGGAAGGAGGGAGGGAGGGAGGGATAGAGGGATGCAGGCGGGGATGCAGGAGCGGGGATTAGAGGGATGCCGGGAGGATGCAGGAGGGCTGTACAGACGGCAGGGTGGGGGCCGGACGGACAGACGGACGCCTCACCTTGTTCAGCCATTCCGCCCGCTCCACATCCGGGAAGCTGACCTGAGGACACGGGCGGGGGGGGCCGTGAGCCCGGGGGGGCCGTGAGCCCGGGGGTCCGGGGAGGGCACGGCCCCTCCCAGCCCCGTGCCTCGGTTTCCCCGACCTGCCGGAGGGACCCCGCCCATCCCCGTCACCCCCCAGCTCGGCCCAACCTCTGCCCGTTCCGGGGGGTCACGAAAGGATGGGGGGGGTCTCGGTGGAAGGGGGTCTCGAGTAAAGGGGTCCCCCACCCCTCCGGCACCGCGGGGAGGGTTCTGCGCCCCCCCCCTCCACCCGCCCCGTCCGCGGCCGGGCAGGAAGCGGCCCCCCCGGGCCCGGTGAGTCACGGCCCGGCCGCGGCGATGCCGGAAGGCCCCGGGCGGTACCGGGGGGGGGTCACCCCGCGGCGGGAATGGAGCGAGGGGACCCCGCGCGGGGGCAGCGGGGGGGGTCACGGGGCTCTCAGTGGGGCGGGCGGGGACCGGCCCCGGGGGTCCCGCCCCGCCGGCAGCTCCAAGCGGGGCTCGGTGCGGCCGCCGGGGGTCCCGCCAGAGCGGGGGCTGCAGAGGGTGCCCGGGATGCGCCGCCTTGGGCGGGGGTCCCGCCCGGCGCGGAGCCCAAGGGGGGTCCCGGCAGCGGGGCCCGGGGGGGGATGAGGTGTTCGGCCCTGGGGGTCCCGCCGGGGGAAGCCCAAGCTGGGGAAGCTGCGCAGCAGAAGGCGGGACCGGGCGGCGGGACCCGGGGGGGATGCGGGCCCGGGGGGATGCGGTGCCCAGCCCCGGGTCCCGCCCGGCGGAGACTTCGAGCGGGACTCGATGTGGTGGGGCCGCAGTTGGACGGACGGGGGTCCCCCCGGGGGTCCCGCCCGGCGGGGAACTCAAGCGGGGTCCGCAGCGCAGCAGAGGGGGGAGTGTCCGCGGCAGTGCGACCCGGGGAGATGCGGGAGGATGATGAGGGGCGATCCGGGGCTTGGCGGGGGACCCCAGAGGTCTGAAGCGGGGTCTGCAGCACGACACAGGTGGGGAACTCGCCAGCGGGGCCAGGGGAGGACGCGGTGCCCGGTCCGGGGGTCCCGCCGGGGGGGATGCGGTTCCCGGCCCCGGGGCAGGACGCGGTGTGCGGGGTCCGGGGGTCGCACCCGGCCCTGCAGAGGGGGGGTTTTACCCCGAGCCCTTCCCGCCGCCGCCCCCGCGGGCGGTAACGGGGCCCCGAGCACCCGCTTACCCAGGCCGGCAGCTCCCCGCGGGCCGCGCCCAGCCCGGCGGCGGCGGCGCGCACCGCCG